TGGTGCGGTGGGGGGGGGCGCCGGGCGGGGGGGCGGCTCGGTGCCCTCGGAGGGCTCGGCGGGACCGGCTGCGCGCGTGCAGACGTGTCCCGGCCCGGCCGGGCGGCGGGGGGAGAGCAGGAGAATCAAATAGAATAAGGCCGGAAAAAAACGGACAGAGTTAGTGCGCAAAGTGCCCAGTGAAGCCAAATGACACGTCATTTTACAGTATGACCTTTTTTTCCCCTTCGAGACTTGCAGGCTTTTTGAAAAAGCAAAGAAGAGAATTAATTGTAGCAGCTGCCCCCCCCTCCCGGCAGCAGCGCCCCCCGTGCAATAAACCATTAACACACACACACACACACACACACACACACACACGTTTCCCTGTTAGTTGGCCACATTGAGAGTGCCTTGTGAAAAGAGAAAAAAAAAAGACATTCACAAATCAGATAAAACTGGAAAATGACATTTGTCTGTAAATGGCTTCTTGGTCTGGAAATGGCCGTGGGTCTTGTTTTTTTGGTTTTGTTTTGTCCTTTCTAGGTGGGAAGCGGGATTGAGAGTGCTGTAAGGAATAGACTTCTCCCCAGGTGGGAGGAAAAGAAAAGACATTAATTAGTTGTTTGTCAAGTGACATTTGGTTGTTTGGCTTTGTGTTTTTCTCCTCTCTTTCAATTGCGGTTTTTCCTCTTTGGTAAGAAAAAGAAAAAGGGGGGGGGGTATTGGTAACTATAAGGAGGCGGCCCTTCCCCCTCTTCTCTAAGGTGCTGTCTGGGGAAGACAAAAGCATTTTAAAAATTGTTGAAACGACCAGAAGAATTATACAAGCATTCATGGGAATGGAAGTTTCTCACCGCCTTGGTGACTTGGCTATTCGAGTAAATGTGTGCGTTTGCTAGGTTCAGACCTGGTTCGTGGTCACATTTCAACAGAACAGCTTGATTATAAAAAAAAAAAAAAGCTAAGGGCCCTATTTTCTTAGTGGTGGCTTTTGGTTGCCTCGCTTTTGCATGGGTCACATCTTTGTTCTCTTGGGTCCAGATTTATAAAAGCAGAAAATTGAGTGAAAATAAGTCTTTGGTGTGTATGCATTTGCAATTTCGGTAATTAAATGGCATTTACGTTGAATTCTTACCTCAAATTGTCCAATGTGGAATTACGCTCTGTAAATATTAATATGCACATGACTTGATTTCAAAGTATAAACCTGGAAATGCCCCGAGCTTTTCCTATGAATGCTGTCTTGCTATCTAAATACTAACTTCAGTCAAGTGTGATGTTAATGGTACCTTAAATTTCTCACACCTTGTGAGCAGTGATAACGAAGTCTCCACTTAATTGGAGACTTGCTCTCTGCACACCTCGCATCACTGAGGCTAATCTTGCTGGGGTGTCCCAGTCTATGTGGCTACGTTTTATCATCAGTTATTGATGGCCTCTGGCACAAGAATTTGCAACCCAAGCCAATGACACAGTACTTTGCGTTTTAAAATGGTGATTCTCACCCAATAATGCCTCTCCCAGAACAAGAAACCTAATGATGGCCCCAAATCCTCTTTCTACTCTCTCTTAATTTAATGAATTACAAAGCCACAGAAGATCTTATGGTCACTTCCCAGCACAGTTTTCTAATGTCATAAATGTGGAAATTGAGACACAGATTGTTTGGGCCTGGGAAAGATAGGTGTGCCACATCGTAGCCCTGCAGAAGTAGAATATTGGAGGTCCTGATTAATAGCATGTGTCTTCTGTGGTCTCTTAATGCCATTTATATTTTCGTGTATGAGAGTTAGGCTCATTAAGATAGAGTGTTTGCTTTGAAATCAGTGTTTCTGTGGAAACTCATTTTACCTTACAGATGTTGATTCCAGCCTTGTGAAAAGGCAAGGGGAGTTGAAATGCTTTACTATCTGGGCATTAAATGGTAACAATTAAAAGCACAAAGAAAAGGAGCGAAAACCAAAGGGCTTTGCGTGGGAGGAGGGCCTGGCGCTGTCTGCAGGGTTATTTGGCAGAGCGCATTTGCGGGAAGGAGTGAGCAGCAACCCCCTGTCTGGCTTGATGGGCCTGTGATTTTTTTATGTGTATAAAATAAAATAAACTTTAAAAAAATGAAAGGTGATTTAAAATGGAGGCATGTGCTGCTTCCTAATCTTTCAGTTGGGAAGGGTTTGGAATCTTACAAAGGCACTGGTTTCCAGGAATATTTTTCCTTGCGATTCGGTCTGAGTTTTGCCCCTTCATCACTCCTTACTGTCGTCCTTGCAGGTTTCTTAAGGCTGACATAGTCCCAGACACTGTGCTTGATATAAAACTGTGTGTGTTCCAGAATATGATAGATAATTGATGGTCTTCCATTTTCCTCTGCAACATGGTTGTGATAACCAGAAAGTATCTTTAGGAGATAGTTGGCAGGGGAAAGGAGGGAAAAGGCAGTGGATACAATGTAATCTTGTGGTCTTAGGGTGGATTTTAAGTAGCCCAAGGGGTGGGGAACCTGCAGCACTGAGAGAAGCTGCATTGTGTAAAGGCTCAGGAGGGATGTACTGCATCGGTACGTGATGTGCAGAGGCCGCAGCGTTTAGGCATTGTTTGCAAGACTGGGTATTTTCACCACGAAACATCTGACCAAGAATGGCGGCTTCGTGCGTTGACGTGGACGTTCGCCTGTGAACGCTCCTGTTTCAAGGATTCAGGTTCACATTTACACACACAAACACAGCGTGACAAAATCGCATCATTTCTACTCTTTGCCCTTTTTCACCCCACAATTTTCAAAGCGACAACAACCAAAAGAAACACACACACACACCTGGAAACAGCAAAACCTTCATTTCTCGTTTGTAATTCTGATGGTGAAATGCTGCGGTAAACACCAAGGTGGACATTTTATTTCATTTTCTCTGCGTCGAAAGGTCAAGGAAAATTGCAAGCTTATTTGGTGTTTGTTTTTTTGCACATGGATTCTACTTCAAAAAGAAAACCACAGCCGCGTGTCCTGCCCCAGGTGTGGGACATGCCTCCTCATAACCTGAGACTCACTTTCATTTTCCAGGTGCTGGAGAATCTGGTAAAAGCACCATTGTGAAGCAGATGCGGATCCTGCATGTTAATGGGTTCAATGGAGAGTAAGTGTCAGCTCTGCGAAGGGCACTCAGTCTGAGGCAATGACCTTGGGGAGGGGAGGGAGGCTGGGGGCCAGCCTGCTCCCACTTCAGCTTTTTAAGACACTCCTGGGAGTGCTCTTCAGGGCTTCCCTCCCTCCTTAATCTTCCGGGTCGGATAGCAGAACTGCTCAGGAAGCCCCAGGGTGCCCTGCCCCTTCCCAGGCCTGGCCAAGGAGCTCGCAGCCCTTGGCTGGGTGACAGCCTCTCCCAGCGAGGTCCCTGCCGCAGCCCTGCAGATTTTGCTGCAGTGAGTCTCCAAGATGGCTGACTCGGCCTTGGCTGCCCCTTGGCCCCCAGGCTGACCACTGCAGAGGCCACCCTCCGCCCGCGAGCCTCGGCAGGAGCAGCGGTGCAGGACGGCCCAGCCCCGGCCCAGCCTAGCATCTCTGTCGTTCTAGCTAGACGGAATTGGAAGTGGAGCCCTTGGTCACAATTCCTCCTTTTTTGTGCCTCCCCTCCCCCTTGAATTAACACGGGCAAATAATTGTTTCCTTTAAAAAAAAAAAAAAAAAAAGCTGCCAAAAGGAATAAAATGGAAACTTAAATGACGGCAAGACTGGAAGTTAGATTCTTCCAGCCATATCAGTGGCATTTTTGCCTTTGAAAAGTCCTCCCAGGCATCCTGGTATAAGACAATATGGCCATACTGCAGTGAGAACAAAGACACAGCGAAGAGACAGACAGACAGACAGCCGGCTATATTCCAGGTGTGGGACACCCGCCCTGCTAGCCATGAAGAGTGCAGGTGGAGGGGGGAGCATGGGGTCAATCCCCCCAACCCCGGGCGGGCCTTGCAGCCTGCTCCTGTAAGGAATGGTGTGAAGCAGCTCTTAACCAGCCTGTTTCACTGGTGAGAGAGCGAGTAGCCACACTAGATTGCAGACACCTGAAGGTACTAGTTAGCAATCACTAGCTGGCTAGCAATCCCATTGCCTTTCTTAAACCTGAATTCAACTGAAGACTTGTCCCTCAGTTGCATTTCCTGCAGTTCCATAAGGGGAGACCGAGGTGAGGTGGTGCAGTCTGATGCGGTCATGCACCCAGAAAACCATCAGACAGACAGATAAATGCTCATTGCTGCCTGTTAAGCCGGAAGTGCTGGGGACGAGTGAATTCTATCACCTCTCGGAGTGCTAAAGGCAGCTCTGGTGGAATATTCTAGAATTTGATCAAATAACTAGGTAGAAGGGGATGACATCACCTTTATAAACGTGCATTCTAGTTGAGAATACTTTTCTGTGTGAACCAAATTCAGACTAGTGTGCAGAAGGGTGGGCTCATTCCCAGTTCCATGGATGGCCCAGGGGTCAGAGTGCACATACCCACTGCTAAGTAAGTAACCTTCAGTTGTCACAAACTGATTCTGAAATTCTTACGTCCTGCCACACCCTTCAATAAAGCCCTGCCAGCGGAGATTGCCATCCTGCGAATAAACAAAAAATCGGAAACAGACTTTTCTAGCCACGAATTTACAAGTTAAAGAAAGATCTTGTGCAGAATTTTTCCTGCAGCTTGCCTGGAGTGCTTCTTCATCAGGCTAGTTAAGCAAAAATAATCTGACCGTGTCCCCTGTAGATAAATATTTTGATTAAAAACTGGACACGGCTAGTATTTTTAAAAAGATGCAGCAGCTACTGTTTACCTTAGCTTGCGCTGGGTGGAAAATAAGTCACCCTTGAAATAATTAGGAGTTCGGTAACTTCAGCTCGCCTTACCCTTCTGCAGGAAGGGTTCTCCTCCTCGGTGAGCTGGTCTGTCATGCAGGCAAGGCTTTCAGCCAGCACTCCTCTTTTCTATTTTCTTTTTGAAAAGAGGAAGCCACATTCCCAGTTGGCCTTCTTTGTAGAGGAGGCCACAGGTATTCTCTGAGGATGTTAAATTTAGCCTGCAAAAGTGACACACAGGGGTATTCTTCCTGGGAGTCTAGACAACTTAGTTTTGTCTCACCCAGCCGAACAGCATTTTCTCTTTTTCCTCACTGCGGTATTGCAACAAGAGCCATTTCCTTCTTAACTGGGAGTCCCCTGTGAAATGGTGACCCCCGTCCATTCCGAAAGGGGTGCTCGGCTTTGCGGGGCTCTTCTCTGCCTGCCCGATCCGATCCCCTGCTTTCTTAGAGCTGTGCTGAGCTGTCCGTTTGCTTGCAGTGTCTGCAGCTGCCATGCCGGCTACGTGTTTAAGAGTAACATAATACAGATCCCACCTTCAGAAATACAGAGGTCAAATGTGGATTGTCCTAACTCAAAGCTAACTCTCTTTATGGTTAGTACGGAGGGGGTCGAGCTGAGCTAGCAGAGCTGAAGGATTATGGTGCCATGTGGAAGTTCAGCCGCCCTGCCCTTCTCCTTTAAGGAGGAATTCCTGCTATTTTATGATCGGGTTTTGGGGAGGGGAGTTGGTGGTAATGGGTAGGTTTGTTACTTATTAATTTCCACTGCCTCATGGACCAAGCATAGTTTTTTAATTGAGAGTTTATGGGGAACAATTATTTATAAAGATATTTTAATTTTGTAGGTAGTTGCCCCCACTGCCAGAAGGGAGGTCATTCATTTTATACCAGGAAATCTTGGGCAAAAATCTCCCACGTCTGTGCCTTAGCGGGAAGATTCTGACCTGGGAGTATGAGGAGCCTTAGGCGCTGCCATGGTCTCCGAAGAATTGCGAGATAAATCACTGCTCTAGCTCCCTGCTGCGTGTACATTTAGTGAGCGCACCAGAAAACAATTACCCGTCCCTCCTGTATCCACCCGAGTCTCCCCAGGGCTCTGTTAATACTGCAGCAAAGGTGTGGAATTCTTCCCCCTACGGCCTGCAGTCTCTCTAGACATTCCAGTTTAGCCAGAAGGCGACCTGAGGATAAGCGGGAGGATGGCGCGAGGACTGTCAGTCGCTCTCGGCTGACGGCCTGGCACAGTAGAGAGGCTGTGGGGTTGGTGTGGAATCGCGGTGCCTTGCGGAGTAGGTGAGCTCTCAATCTCTCTTTACAAGGGGCGGCGAAGAGGACCCGCAGGCTGCAAGGAGCAACAGCGATGGGTAGGCACATTCAAACCAGAAAAATTTCTTAAACAGAACAGACATGGAGGTCCTATCGGGAGACTGAGGACAGAGACCCGGGAAGAAAATAAAAATCACTTAAGGGCCATCAACCGTATTGGTACACGTTTGAAAGTGACACGTACAGTCTCGTAACGTTTCAGAGCAGGTGAAGTGCAAAACCTACATCTTTTTTTGGCCATGCTTAAAGTAGAATTAGACCCAGCTGGGGGAATATTAGAGCTTTCATTCAGCTTTGGACCTCAGTTTAGGATTTGGAGAACTGATGTTTTTCCATATGGTTTCTATTTCCCTCGGTTCTCCATTCGAATCAGCTACTTATTTTTAAAACTGTCTACTGAATTCCATCCACCAGTGGTTGAGCTGATTTAGAAATTTCTGACCTCTTTGAAAAAAATAAATCAACATAATCTTGACCCTGTTTAAATGTTCAGCACTGTACCACACTTAATTTTGAAAAGCACCCTGGCACCCTGCGGCAGCAGGTCGTCATTAAGAGTCCTCTGGAAAAGCCTTCGGCCTTTTCAGTCTGATCAGATTTATTTTAATTCAAGTTCCCTTATGTTAGCTAGGAGATAAGGAAATTCACGCTGGCGTCCGTTTTGCCTTCACTATGACACTGGTTTTCTTGGCTTCCTGCACCCCTACACCCACCTCTCACGTCTGCACACATGCGTGCACATCCCAGGTAGCCAGCGCCAGGCCTGCTGCACACTCACCATGCGGTGATGGAGTGGCTGCTGTCTCCTGAGCACACACAGAGCCCGCTGACCAGCCTCCTACGGCGGCTCAGATGGCTTCTGTGGCCGGGAGGGGAGGGGCAGGGGGGGTGGGGTAGCGGACAAAGTAACTGACACGTGTCTGTCCCTCTGTCTCTTTTAGAACCTAGTGTCCCTAGGTGAGGGCTATGGTTTCTCGTCTTCCCGACTCTGTCCTATCTCAGTTTGCATGCCGGACTCGCTCGGTCTTAGGAACTTCTAATAAGAATACTATTCTGTTTGGGGGAGGGGAGCTGGGCCCTACTACCTTACCTTTAAAGATAACTGGAGGGGAAAAAAAAAGGGGGATAACAAAACTCTTAATTGGCCAAAAAAAAAAAAAAAAAAAAAAAAGAATATATCAAAACCACCAAAAAGGAATAT